TCTGAGATCCTTAGATGAGGATGAAGTTGGCAATACGAATAACTTGATGCACTCTCTCTCTTCAAGCATTCAAGCGAAACGCGACCAAAGAAATAGATTTTTGAACCCTTTCACACTCATATCAAGTTGAGGTACTGAAAAAAAAAAAAAAAATTTATCATAATCGAATTGTTAACATGTTGGTTAACTCCGATAAGCTCCAATATGCAATGTGATTGATATTATTTTCCTTCAAGAAATTTTTCCTCCCTTATTCTTCGTTAGAATGTTTTATCAGTCAAAATTTTCCTTTATTTCTTCTTTTGTTAACACGATTTTGCTTAATTTTCTGAAAATAAAAGGAAAGAGGAAATTACACCTAGCCAGGGTTTTGAAGTTCACTGTGTATAAATCATGGGCCCAACTTTTCTAGTCAAATATCCGGTATTAGATTAAAAAAAACTAATTATTTAAAATATTCGTGGTTCCGTTGTTAACGCTCTTCAAATCTATCTTTCTTCCTTCTCTTACCAAACGAGAGAAACTGCCCCAAACCTCTCCCCACGATCTGTGATAAACCACTCCGGCAGTTACGAACATCATGAAATCTCCGATTAGTTATCCCGCTCCAGCCTGTCAAGAAAATAATCTTCGTCACATACCGGATATTCTTCGTGTACCCCGTCACTCTGTCAAAAAACTTCCATTTTACGATCGACAAAAAAATGACTAAACCCAAGGCGATAAACATACATGGCACGCCAGAAAGGAGAGGAAAGAGGAAGCATGAAGAAAGCCCAATGAAATCCCATATGAAAAAGTCTGCGGCGTCGTCTGTGACCCTGCGAAAAGTTCAATAGAACATGGTATGTTGATTTTTATGTTCTGTTAATACATTAAGTGACGGGTATTGATTAAATAATCGTTAGGTAACATGTATTGAAGACGTATTGAAGATATGTGACCTTGAAAAATGTTGATTTCGTTCCGTCGTTGGAATGGGGTAGGGTTTACCATTTTGAACGCAAAATGTTTGTTCATTTGATTTTTCGCTTTCGATGTTACAAATAATATGTTGTCTATTCACGAATAAGTATACATTTGGAATCTGTGACGTAAATGCATATGTGTATGATCGCATGTGACCTTACTGTAATGGGGATTGGGCTCTGAATGTGATCTTAATATGTGAATGAGACTGAAATTTGTTGTGACCTGCGTGAAAAGACTTTGTATGCTTGTGATTCGACTGTTAACATGGTTGATGATGTGTTTTTAGCCATACGATGTCCATTTCACCTATATGTGACCAGGTATTCTCAATGCAAAGACACTCATATGTACATCTACTAATTTCCATCACAGTTGTGGCTATAATGGTTGAAGACCAAACCAAATTTAAAAACAAATGAAAAATATATGTCTGGGTTCTCGTGTTTAATAACATTTGGTAAGAGTGTCCTCAGCTTGATGTTGCATGATCTCTGCTTCATAGGACATGTGGTTCACGGTGGGATATGAAATGGGCCCCATAATCACTTGAAAATTTATATAAAAGTTGTTATTTATAATTCTTAACAGGGTTGAGAATGCGACTGAAACGTGTTGAGAATATGTGGCCTAAATGAAAAGACTTTGTATGCCTGTGAGCTGACTGTTAACATGGTTGATGATGTGCTTTAGTAATATGATATCTATATGTGACCAATTTTACATATATGTGACCTGAATTTAACCTATATGTGACCATATTACCTAAATGTTCTTCCATTTCTGTCTCTGAATTACAATACAGGTACTTAACAATTTTACTATTATTAACGATTTATGTAGGTCTGGCGCTTTAAAATACCTGAAAAAAGTTGGTTTCCTGGCAAGATTACGACTTCTGTGTACAAGGGTATTCTCACCACTATACAAGAAAAGTTAAGCCAAAGCCAAAAACAGGTATTGAGGGGCACATGCTTTGCCCACTTCCTGGATTGCCATGAAATAGTAATTCAATTACAGTTGATTCACTACTTCCTTTTAAGGCAGGTTCAGCACCCGAATGAGGAAGAAATATGGTTTTATGTTTCTGGGCGATACGTCAGGTTCTCCATATCTAAGTTCTGTTTGGTCACAGGATTGAAATGTTCAGGCGATACAGATACTCAGGTTTTTGAAAATAGGCACTCAAAGTTGAAGGCCAAATACTTTTCACAAGTAGATACTATCACACATGAAGATGTAAATGACACATTTCTGTCTGCATGCCAAATGCCTGATCTCGATCTGGTTGAAGCCTTACCAGATAATGATGTTGCAATGTTCGGGATTTTATATTTCCTAACTGCCTATCTCTTTCTCCTTGACTACAAGAAGATTCTCGACCACTTCCTGTTTGTTCTTGTTGAGGACTTTAATGAAATGAACAGTTTTCCATGGGGCAAGCTGCTATTCCAAATTACTCCGGGTGCATTGAGAGATGGACTCAGCAGAAAGACCCCACACTATAGGCTACGAGGAATGCTTGTAGCCTTCCAAGCATGGATATACGAGACTTTTCCCAGTCTTGAAGGCATCGTGGTCACCAGGATATTGAGGGTGCATCCCGCATTGTAAACTGGATGGCAGATGAGCAACCATCAACTGCCAAATTGGAAGGACCCGACTGCTTCTCCAATCCTAAGGTAAAGTTCCAGTAAGCGTCATGCAATTAATACTGAATTTTTGACTTTACATTCATATAAACAACATATTGTATTGCAGATTATGATTTGTGACTTGGAACCATTGGAAAGTGAAATGGCAATGCCATACATGAATGGAGTCCAATACAACAAGCCGATCCAGCCGACGTCCTCAACCGAGAGTCGAAGAAGAACCAAGCGCATGACGGAGAGGACTGTTGAAGATGTCGGTACTAGCGGGAAGTCGGTTCCATTAGTCCTACCTTTGATGGACAGTAATATTGGACAAGTTCACTCTTCAGATGATCACGACGATTTTGTTGCTCCTCCTCCAAGACGGCAGAAGCCATCCGCCCGTGGAAAATCCCCTGTTGTTGAAGGTCCTGCAGCCGCTCATCATTATCTAGAGGATCCACAATCTCATAGGGCATAAAGGGATGATGTAAGTTGTTATTTTAGTCAGCTCTCAATATTTCCATCACTGGTCACACTACATCCACCATTCGAACACCGTACAACATATTCTCTCTTGTCGGACCGTTCAACCATAAACTCAAACATGCTCTATATGGCAAAAAATGACAGACTCATTTTCAAAATATCCTTATCACGGAACACCCTTCCTTCTTCTACCTCTCTAGCATCCGCGATAGACACAACTATGACTTCAGTGTCATAAATGTGACCCATTTTTTCATTTGATGCTTCGCATGTCTCTAATGCCATGTCTTGCAATGTAAACATCTCACCGCTGGAATGCGCATTGACTGGCATTGTAATGGATGTGTTATCTATTTCTACTTCAGCAACGTCAACGATTATCGGATATTTAGCAGGTTCACGCTCCATGTCCTTTAGCAGAACGTATGATAGTGCATTATTGTCATTTTTAATCCTGATGGGAGGCAAATCTTCATTCAATATGTACTTCAATGACAAAGCTACCTTCGTAGGATCCAGAGCAAATTCTGTCATCACTGTTTCCACAAGGGTTAAATAACTGCAGTTGCGAGCTACCGACACCAATGAGGATTGCATTCCATACAGTAAACATACGTGCAAGTACACCATTCTGCAAATTAGAATTAATATCAATAATTTCATCATATGTGAAATATGTCATATGTCACACTGCACAGCAACGAGATCACAAATTAGCAAACCAGGTTACAAATAGTTATGGATAAGACAATCACAAATCGGGTCACAGATTGGTATCATTCAGACTACAGAGTTGACAGGGAGTCACATATGCTCGCAACGAATGAAGAAATATTTGATTTTACATTCTCGACACATTGTGGGCGAAACATGTCACATCAGATAGGTTACAGATCACAAGTCAAGTCACAGTTTCACATAGCAGGTCACACATGATTTCTCCTACATTGTTACACAGAGGTCGCATATACTCGAAGTGAATAACGACACGTTTGATGCTAAATACGTGGACATAGTTGTTGAAACACTTCACATTTCACAGTATAGAGGTTACAGTTTCATAGATCAGGTCACATTTACACATACAGTTCACGCATGTGACACAGACGTCTACTGCAATTCTACTGAATAGCAACCTGTGACGAGAAACCAGCTAACGACGATATTATACTAATTTTGTGACCAACGACATTAGTCTCGTGATTGTTGATTTCAAGTTGTGATCGCAGCAAAATACACTATTACCTGTAACTATGATTTTAGGACTATTAGCCAGGGACAATCAGCACTTCTGTGGCTAGTAATGATTTCTGGTCCCCTGCAATGATGATTTTTGGACCAATTCGTGTTACGAAATTCAGTTCGGAATGTGACATTCGAATCGACGAAAAAACATTCATATTATTACCTGGATTGGCTTCTCCCACAATTATTTCGTTTTTATGGAATCGACACCAATCTCTGTGACCTGATAGGTAATGAAATCGACCAATTTGTAGTAAAATCAATCGGCAACATCAATTTCATTGCTGCGCATAATGAAATCAGGTAGATTTTTTGAAATTTTTGGTTACGAATTTTTTACATTTGGACTCCTATTATATATGGTAAGTGAGCTTAATTGTAGGAAATGGATGTAACAGAATCTCTCTCTCTCTCTCTCTTTCTCTCTTTATCGCTATACATATATATATATATACACCGGACATTTGAATTTTCAATCATTGTGGGGGGTTTTTGATTTTGGGTGTTCTATACCCTCGAGTTGTGATTTTTTCCCGTAAAAGAAAAAGGTGTAGGAATCTAGTATTGGGCTTCGGTGAGCTCAAGATCACCCAGCCCAAAAATGAAGGTATTAATTAGGCCCAAAATATTTGAAGAGCCCAGCCATTACCCACCCAACTCATGGTCAAAATTTGGTTCTGAATCAAACGATCGAAACCCAGTTCTCTCAGATCTCTGTTCGACCATTCTCTGATCCCTCTGGCTGAAATCAAACCATAAACATTCGGCAATCCGCTCGCGACATTGAGTATTCCCTTGCGAATTCTTCAGTCTCAACATGCCAGGTATTTTACTCTTTGTAATTCTCCATATTTCCGGTTATATATGTATCGCAACTTGTATGTTATGTATGTATTTCGTTTGACAGAGATTTTGAGAAAGCTTTCTTTTATCGTTTTTCAGTCAGTGCTTTAATGGGTTGTCTGTTGGCTAGATTTCTAATGGGGAAAATTGCAGGGAAGTATTTGTAATAAGGAAAACTAATTAATCTCTTGTTTAGAGTAATATACTCATTGTAGGACCGTGTCATAGATTAAAACCCTCATAAACTCTTGATATAAGCTGTGAAAGCTAGGGTTCAATTATTTTATTGGTCACTGAACTCTGCCACTGGTTACTAGTAACTGATTTCAAAACGTAACTCATGGTCACTAATCTTTGCATCCTGTTACACATCCATCACTGAGATGGACTCTGTCGTTAATGGAAATTCCGACGTTGCTTACATAATTCCAATGTGCCTTTCCAGTCAAATGCAGCCCGCTTAACAAAACACCATTCACTTTTCCAATTAACCCTTCTAAAATACAACTTTCACGTTCCAAATTATAAAACCCTTCCAAAACACGACTTCCAGTTGTTTTTGATTTTGCTGGTCAAGGCAAGGGGAGGTGATGGTGAGACTGGAAGATGAGGGTGGCACCCTGCAAATGTTGCGAATTCAGGTTTCAACCATCACGTTCATCTAATTTGTCAATGGCTGCATGGAGGGTTTTGGGCGAGACGATGATGGAGCTTAATTTTCTACAATTGTTGGATGAATATGAGAGCTCCAATTCACCTTGGATTATTATTATTATAACCATCATCATCATCATCATCATCATCATCATCATCATCATCAACATCATCATGGGAGTTGTATTTTTTAAGGATTTAAGTCGTGGTTTTAGTTGGAAAAGTAAGTGGCCTTTTGTTGAGCTAGCAGTATTTGATGGGGAAAGGCTACCACTTAGAAATTCTGTGAGCCATATTAGCATTTCCGTCAAAGCAAATAGATGGAATCCATCTCAATGATGGATGCATTACACGACTCAAAGACTAGTGACCATCGAGTTATACTTTGAAGATTAGGGAGTTATTAGTAATTGTGGGCAAAGTCTAGTTACCAATAATATAATTTAACCGTGAAAGCAAAATTATACATAGTGTTAAAATCATGTCTTAATTGAGTGTGTCTATTTGCTCGCTCCAGTTTGCAAAATGGATCTCAAGATACTTAAAATAAAATTATCTTCATGTGCATTTTAACAAGGGAAATAGTGTGATTTATCTATTAAGAGATTGTTCTGCCTTTGGATTTAGATCACAGTTTTGGTTCATCTTTTTGAATTTTTGGGTTATGGAAAATTTTTAATTATATAGAAGGTTATTTTCAAAGTCTTGTAACTATTAACCACTTGTTCTTTGAATGCCAATTCAGAGCAACCCGGGACCAAATCTGGCTTGCGGTATAGCTCTATGCTTGGACTCAGACCCTTAACTGACCATGTGGTTATTTGCATGGTAGGATTTACATGGAAAGATCCTAATCTCTCATTTATATATAGTGCTTATCACCCGTGGCTGGAAAGAGAGAATCGAATTTTCGTGACACCAGAAACTCAAGAACATTAGCTCAGCTCATAATTTTTTACATATGAACTAAAATTAGAGATGGGTTATAATGAAATTTTCCTGGAGTGAAGGGTATAATGATGTCCAGGGCCCCACCCATTATTTAAGGATGTATGTTAATGTCCATTTGCTAATGTCTCAATTCGGATGCTGAGAAAGTAGAGAAAAAACTCAAAAGGAAGTTTGTAACTTCAATATTTCCCATTAAAATTTAAAAGCATGTCTGTGAGCTGCCAATGTATAATGCCTTGATGCATCATCCAACAATGAACAGTTTGTGGCATCAATAATTGAACACCGTTCTACACTAGGGAACTCGATGTCACTTCTGTAGTATTTCTAATGATATAGTTAAAAGATATAGCTACTTACATTGCCTCTTGGAATAAATTCTGTTATCTAAGCTTTAGTCATTGGTAAAAGAAAAGAGAGCTAGGAATTCTTCTAAATACGTATTAGGCTAAATATCGTTTCATTCTAACCCAAAAATAGTGGTTGAGCAGTGGACAGCGTGTTCGCTAATTGTGTAATTATTCATAAGTACATGCATTATTACTTTAAGTCATCATCATGGATTGTGTTTTGATATTACTTTGTGTCTAGTAAGCATGATCATCACGATCAATGAGTAGAGATGCCGTGGCTCCGTTTAGTTCTGCATGTCATGGAACTATCTAGAATCGCAAATCTGTTTTCAGCACGTAGTCACTCCCTTGCGGTCTCTTCAGCCATCATATCCCTTGGACTTCGGGTAGTCTTTCGGGGCAACGACATTGTTAGCGGCACCTCCGCTAGTACTAGCAGTTGATTGCTTGATTTGCATGACCTCCTAGCTCATTTTCTCCAATGTCATGGCCAACTTGTTCACCTGCCTTGTATTGCACCAACGGTATCAGCGACTTTAGCTTGGAGAAGGGTGAAATTTTCACCCATGGCGGTTTGTCGGACTCTCACAACCTAAACATCATGCTTCACCGCCTAGACATCGGCCCCCAATGATGCCTGATCTTCCTTCACCTCTTAGACATAAATTTGAAAAATCTCTCAACTTTCCAATAGCGTGATCCTCCAACGTCTCAAAGGAGTGCTTCAAGGATTAGACCCTATCACTCATATTGATGATGATCGGGTTGAATTTTTCCTTCGTCATTAAAGCTTTCTGTACTTTGCTCCTACCACGTGCTTTACTCCCATTGCTCCATAGGAATTTTCTCTCTCAATTCTCTATTACTCTCCCCTTTCCTTCATGTATTCATTTATGTGATTTACAAATGATCAAGCATTCTATTTATATGCAAACTCATCGTATGGAAGTTGGCATTAATGGTTAGGATTAATCTTGATTCAAGGGTCCTTATTGGTTGTAAATTGTCTTCCACCTCCTTAGACCATAAGGTGGTTAAGTTGAAATTTGCTACCTTGCAAGTTGCATGTCTCTACACTTGCAAATTGTCATGTTGCAATGTGTCTTGTCCATTTTCAACTCCATGCAAGTGGACATGTTTCCATCATGATGGTCAAGTTGGACTTTGTTTCCTCAAACAAGTTGTCAAGTTGCATTTTGGCCTCCTTATGCAAGTTGCCCAATTGGTACAAGTTGACACCCACTTGCATTCAAAACCAAGTTGCTTGGCACCCACTTGCATTCAAAACCAACTTGCTTGAGGAAGTAAAGTTTAACTTGATCACCATGATGGAGACATGATCATTTGCATATGAGTTGTAGAGATTGAAAATGGACAAGACATGTCACATGATAACTTGCAAGTGTAGAAACATGCAACTTGTAAGGTAGCAAATTTCAACTTGGCTACATTGTGGTCTAAGAAGGTGGAAGGCAACTTGCAACCAATAAGGACCCTTGGATCAAGATTAATCCTAGCCATTGATACCAACTTGTATACCATAAGTTTGTCTATTAATAGATGTGCTTGGTCATTTGTAAATCACATGAATACATGAAGGAAATGAGAGAGAAAATTCCTATGAATGGAATGGAAGTAAAGTGAGATAGAGTGATATTTTTGTAGAGAGAAAATATTAGAGAGTTTATAAATAGTTCTCTCTTATATTTATATAAAGAAGTTTTCCCCAAATAAATGTGTGTGCCATTTTCCTCATAATTTTCTATCTACCTTTTCTATCAAAGTTAACATATAATTAAACCTCATTAGTTAAATTATTGGGGGTTTAAGGCTCACTTAATGATATCTTGTGGGTACGGGAGTTGTGGAGCGCTAAGGCTTCACGGTTCAAGCGTAGTTCGGGAGTAACGAAATTGGGCCCGTGATAACGTGCTCCAGAATGGTAAAAAGACCAAGTGCTATTAGCAACCCTATCTAAATTCTTACTCTTTATCCTCCAATTCATGGCAGCAATCAACACCGTTGAGTAGCTCTCTAAACACTCTGGTGATCGAAAAAGGGTTGAAGAAGGGTGACTTGACGAGGAGGTGGCAAGAGATTCGTTGGCTTCGAATTTTGGGGTCAACAAAAGTATATGAACAATGTCAGGATCTAGAGCCTGTTTGGTACTGATTCTTATAATCAATTTTTTGACCGTTAGAGAGAAAAATGGGTCTCACCTGTGAGTGAAAAGGTCAAAAATGACAACTGGCTATGTTCAAAAAATTGATTTTTTGGCCTGAAAAATTAGAACCAAACGGGGCACCAATAGGGTTGTCAATGGATCGGATATGGAGCGGATCTATCCAAATCCGATCCGATCCGTTAAGAAAAATTATTCGATCTGATAATCCGACGGATATTTAATTGTTAAATCCATATCCGATTTGCTATGTTATCGGATATCCGATCTGATAATCCGATTCGAATTTTTTTTCACCAATTTTTTCCCAAAAAAAAATATTTTAACTATCTTGATGGGCTCACCTAATATACTAGAAGGCCCAAATCAATTTTTTATTCAAGTGATGCTCTTTTAGTTCCTTTTAAAGAAGATTTCTCTTGGAATGTTTTAATAATCTTCTTGTGTGGGATACTACATTTTTAAATGGTACTTCTCTTCTAATGTTTTAATGGTCTTTCAATGTGAGATACTACTCAATTGTCAATTCTAAGTGTTTACTAGTTTATTTTATTATTTTCACTAAAAATCATAGCCTTAAAAAAATTAAAATAAAAAACAATATCAATTTTAACAAAGTAAATTATTTTTGGACATATTAATTATTAGTTTGTGATAAAATTATTTTTGGACATATTAATTATTAGTTTGTGATATTATAAAACAAATTACTATAGTTATTTTTATCTTATTTTATTTAATAAAAAATTAAACCTCTTTGAATATTTCAATTAAAAATATTATACTATTATCTAATATTATTTATTATTTGAAAATTATGTGTAAAGCATAATATAAGTTTCAAAATGGAAAAAATTATGTTTAATAAATTATGATATAATATATAAAATATATAATATTATTATAATAAATCGAATCGGATCGGATCGACATATATCCATATTTGCTCCATTTAGTTAACGGATTATCGAATTCGGATCTTAATCGGATGATCGGATTGAAACCTTAAATCCATCTCCCGTTAATTTCATCGGATTCGGATCAAAATTCAATCCATTGATAGCCCTAGACGCCGATAAAACCAAAAAGAAAATGTGATGGTGTACAATGATGTCAGAATTCCCATTATGCCAGTTGATTCCGTTATTTTGGCTCCTAGATGTTGTGGCAACGTTATGTAATTCATTTATTAACCTGTCAGTGATAAGAATACAATATCCTTTCAGAAGCCATCTAATGCATTTATTTGTGTTCATATTGCAGTAAATGAAGAGCCCATTCTATCAAACAATGGGACTTCAACTCTCCAGCTACCACTTTCCCAGCAAAAGCGCTTGTACTGGTGGCTCTTACTGGCTCTTAACATAATTTTTCTTCTTGTTGGTCAAGCTGCTGCTGTCCTTTTGGGAAGATTTTATTACGACAAAGGTGGAAATAGTACATGGATGGCCACTCTTGTTCAAACAGCTGCTTTCCCTGTCCTTTTCATTCCTTATTTTTTCCTTCAATCCTCGGAAGAATCTTCAAATGTGTTAAACCTGCCTTCCATTATTACCCTATCACTAATCTATATTGTCATTGGAAGTCTCATTGCTGGAGACAACATGCTCTATTCTGTTGGACTATTATATCTATCTGCCTCTACTTATTCTCTCATTTGCGCCACACAGTTAGCCTTCAACGCTATTTCCTCTTACTTCATCAATCACCAAAAGTTCACTGCTTTAATTTTTAATTCTGTAGTTATTCTTTCATTATCCGCTTCTCTCATTGCAGTCAATGATAATTCGAATGAACCTTCAGGAGTCCCTAAGGGTAAATATATCCTGGGGATCGTAACCACTCTTTCAGCTTCTGCTATGTACTCTGTTTTGCTTTCCCTCATGCAGCTAACATTCCAGAAGGTTCTAAAGAAGGAAACATTTTCTGTGGTTTTGGAAATGCAAATTTATACATCAGTTGTGGCTACTTGTGTTTCCATTGTAGGACTTTTCGCAAGCGGCGAATGGAAGACTTTAAGGGGGGAAATGGACGGTTTCACTACTGGAAAACTTTCTTACATCATGACTTTGGTTTGGACGGCTGTGGCATGGCAACTTTGTTCTGTCGGTGTTGTAGGTTTGATCTATGTAGTCTCCTCTCTTTTCTCCAACGTTATTAGTACTCTTTCCTTGGCCGTTACTCCTATTGCATCTCTTATCGTCTTCCAAGACAAGATGAATAGTGTGAAAATAATTGCAATGCTGATGTCATTTTGGGGTTTCGCTTCTTACATATATCAGAACTATCTTGATGATATTAAGGCTAGGAAAACAAAAGCTGATGCTAATGATGCCTCTACCAGTTCTTGTTGCTGATAATTTTGATTGGCAGGTCGAGTCGATCCAAAAGATTGCGTAAGACCTTGTGTTATAGAATTTATCGACTATTCTTCTCTCATTGTAAATGCCTTCTCCCTTGGTTATATAGATTCTACATTTGATATGTTATTTTTATCGTCCCCTGCTGAAAGTTATTTTCTTGGAGCGGAACATGGATATATGTTTGAAATTCAATAGAATGCTTATTTTTAATGAGTGCTTATTGTTTTGTGCCTTTTTTCGCTTCACTTCATATGATCTTTTAGATCAAGTACTGTAATATGATTCTCGGTTCTAGTCTCATTGATCCATTTATCAAAATTATGCAAGGGTTAGGCTTTAATATGATTCTCGGTTCTAGTCTCATTGATCCATTTATCAAAATTATGCAAGGGTTAGGCTTTGATTGAAAAAGTAAATTGTATTGAGAATACACTTTAAAAGATGTGCATATGGTCCTTTCAAATGGCTCAAACTTTTAGACGAAGTGGTTTGATGCATATAAAAAGTCGGTTAATGTTTCGTTTCATCTTAAGAACTAGATGTTTCGTGGATTTGTAATCTTTATACTTTTTCAACACTTCTAGTGCATGTTAGCTTTGCGGTTTTAGATAAGGGTGAAAATTGTTACATATTGAAATTGAACTTCTTTATCCTTGTTTATACTATTAACATCTTTGATGCGTTGGAGGATGATACTGGGCAGGGAAAAAAAAAAGGTCAAAATTTTATCTTTAATTCAATATAATATATACTATTGTTCAAATACTACCTATCCAGATGGTTTGAAACGAACAAATATCAATAAAGAAGAAAAATGAATTTAAAAGCACTTAACAACTGGATTGATCGCATCCGCTTTATTCGAAGTAGATTCTACCAAGTAAGCCCTTATTTGGTTTTGTTAAAATCAAATTTTTAGTAGATTTTGATAAAAATCGATGAAATGTGTGAGTGAAAAGTTGATAAAAATTGTGGTCCATAGAATGTGTGATTAAATTTAATTGTTGATATTGACTTACATTTTATCAACTGTTTTAGCTAAATCAAACTTGGATTAAGTTTTAGGAAAAATTTATAAATCTTGTACTAAGTATGGAGACTTCAAAAATCAGGTTTTAAGTTTGTAAGATGCAAAAATCAGGTTTATTAGTCAATTAATTAAAAATATTTATTAAATAAAGATAATAAAGTCTCAGTTATTTGATTAATGGTCATAGATTTATTTACAGGTCACATATCGCCAAATTAATTAGTCACAGATTATTTTGTAGTCACAAATCAAAAGTTTTATAGGTCACAGATTATTTTTAATTTATAGATCTATCAAATTATATGTTACATTTTATCTATGGGTCAGTTTGTTGGTTAAAAATTATTTTTTAATCACAAATAATAAAATAGTTGGTCATATGCACCATACACCCAACCTTGATGCTAATCCATCGCTAATTTTTGGTCACAAACGGCTAAATAGTTGGTTACAGACATTCCCACCCCGTCACTGCCACCACAACCACCACCAACATCATCAGACAACAACACATAATAGTTGGGCACCATCGCCTCCAAAACCACCATCTCACCAACATGAGCACCACCGTCTCCTGCCATCTCCATCATGAGCACCACCGTACCCTAACACCACCACACCACTACACCCACAATACACCACCATCGGACACCGCACCACCCACAACACACCACCACCCTCCGACTTCACATTGCCACACCTCTACCACAAAATCAATCAGCACCACCACAAAACCACCAAGAAACATCGGTAAAACCGCCACAAAAATACCACAAGCCATTGCAGAACAACACAAAACTGCTGCAGCGACCGTACCGGCCTATCTCCTTGCACAACACTTCTTAGGTCGCGCACTGCACATCGCATGTTGTAGAACTGAGAGTCGTCGTTCACAATAAGTGACGGGCACTCCTCAATGATGACAGCGATGGGAAGAGGTTATAGAGAGAAAACAACAGATCGAAAAATAGAAAGGCTGTCGATGACGATTGTGAACAGCCGATCGCCACGCTGTTGTGAACGGCGACCCATTCAAACATGACCCAAACCAGTAGCTTCACCTCTCCACGCCGACACCGACACATTTCCTTCATCGCTTTTGCAGTGGTTGAATGGGTTGTTGAGAGGAGAAAAGGAAGAGACGGGAATCTTGTTTCAAAATTGGGTGAAATGAATAGGGTTTTTAACTGAATTGGGGGAATTAATAATACTTGATTTTTTTATAAATATACGTCACTCCTAACTTTTGAATTTAAAAGTTTAAGTACCTGATTTTATGTAATTTTCGCTTAAATTTTCAACCTCCAACAGTAGCCAAGATAGGTCTTTGGCCGTTTAGCTTCAGCTTACACGTTCAGCTTGTACATAATTTTGTTATTATTATTATTATCTGAGGTAGGTGGAGCAGGGGAGAGCGAGGGAGTGTGGAGCTTGACAGGGATTGTTGATAAGCTGTGCCCTAGAATAATCGTATTTTTTGACAAAAAAAATATTTCGTAAAGTGCCTTCATTTATTTTTGCATAATTGCAGCCACTGACCTAAATATTTCAATTTGTTGCATATTTTACTCAGACCTTTCATTTATTGCAGTACTGGTCCCAACATTTCATTTCTATGCGACGAAAGTACCTCTTGACAGAGTCGACCAGTAAAAATGAGTTTGACCAATCTCGCTAATGTACCACTCTCATCTCTTTATTATAATTTCATAATTAATATGATATTGTTCCTATGTTTTCCTTTGTTTTGCTGAGTTGAAGCCTTACTGAAAATAAAAATATTATGTTTTACTTTATTTTCAAATTAAATTAACTAAAAGAAATTCAAACCACTGAGGATCTAACAATTGTATGCAAAATGATCGTGCTAAAGTTTTCGGCTTATAAGTTATAATTTGGTATTGGGATTGATTAGTTTATTAAAAGTGGGCCAAAATGGGATGTGACATTGAAACTATGCACAAATTTGAGCAATTTTTTGGTGACTTTGCGTGTTTAAACCTACTTCTTGTGGGGATGGGACCAGTCACCAACTCATAAGTAAAACTTAACTTTGAAGAATCACTTAATTGTTCAATATAAATATTCAAATGGAAAGGGCATTATATTTTTCTGACAGACCAAACTTTACATTATTACATGTTAGGTTAAGTTTGAAAGTTATTGTTCTAGTAAAGAATTATTTTTTTAAACCTAGTAAAAAAGTAACTTTAAAAATTGTTTTTACCACAAAATTAAAATTAAAATTTACTTTTCTAAGCTCAACCAAGTATCCTATACGGCAGGAAGCAACGTGGGTGGAGGGATCGAGGGGAACTTGGAAGGGTTTTGGAGAGAAAACGATGGGCGGATGAAACGAAAGAAGCAATTGAGAATTAAGTGAGGAGAAAGATGGTGAGGTTGGAAGAAAGGAGAAAAATGTGTAGTTAAGTAAGTAAAGAAAAGTTTTAAGAGAATGTGTAGAATATTTTATTGTATGAATGTGTAGTTGAAAATGATCATATAACAAACCATAAAATAAATTAATGGAAATCAAATAAGCCCTAAAATTAATGTTTCGACTTTAAAAAGTAAATTATAAGTAACTTTAATGTCATCCAAGCATAGGCATAGTGGCTAATCTATTACAATTTAACAATTGATACCCAAATTAGTTATACATTCTATTGATCATGTCTAATATGCGATGTTGATATTATTGCTTAACATGTTGCGATTAATTTTTCAAAATTCTTAAAGTTAAACATGTATCTTGTATATTAGTGTCGAATCGACGATTACTAGATTATCCATCTAATTATGTCATGAAAAGATAAAAAAGAAGTATTAAACCATCTGGTGGGGTCCTGTCACCCTGTTCGACTTTGATATGAAATCTCGGTTTCATTTCAAATATACAAATTCATCGTACATTATTAAAGTCTAGAATTTAAGATCTCTTTTCACATGAATATTGTGTATCCTTTTCGAGCTAACTAATGACATTCCACCAATAGTCACGGTCATGAGAACTAGACTTGTACATCATTTGATTTGGATGTGGTTGTCACGTATAAACTCTCATTTATCCCTTTTTCTTGTAATTTTTTCAACAACTTTTTCTGATTGATTTGGACCTTTTATCAAGTTCTACTAGTAACATGATTGTGTAGAAATTAAATTTCATTCCTTAAAGTATCTATCTTCTTTTATATATTAGCGAACATTTCTATTCAGAATCACTCGAATTAAACTAAAACGGGACCAAATTAGCCATTATTATTTGAATGGGTTTTTACGAAACTCTGAATAATTCGAACAATTACAATATAAACTTTCGATCCCATGAATACTATTCATTAACAAACAGAAAATCACGACGAAATCATTAGTTTTCCACAAGATAAGATTAAATTTTGATTTTTTTTTCAGAAAATAATAAACCACATAAATTCAAGAGAAGATGCCCAATTGACATCATCATATCAGATTAAGTATAATTAGTAATAATTTTGGATGTTCAATTTTCTACAAATCCGTTGGCAACGACACTTGCGAAGCTAAATCCACAGGAATTAATTTGAATTAGTTGTATGCAAAAGGACAATTGATCCGTTGATAAATTTAAAAGATAAAAAATCTCTAAATTGGAATAATTGGAGAAGTGGGGCCCCTCAAACATTGCGTTTACAAAGGATAATTTTTTAAGGTTTGGTTCGTTTGTATTTAACGTAATCTTTTGTCACACTTATGAAAATTGTGTGCATGCATTAAATTTTGATTAAAAAAAAAAAAAAAAAAAACTTGCCTATATATGAAAATACATTGTTTGACACCAAATGAAAATAATTAAAATTTGTGTCATCTCTAAGAGTGTGTTTGATTGATTTTATTTTTCATGAAAAATGTCATTTTTCTAACAAATTTCGACTTTTAGGGTGTTTGGTCGATAATTTTTTTATGAAATATATTTTCCAACTTTTGATCGCGTGATCGCCTCAAAAAAAACGGAAAATATTTTTCTTTAGGGAGGGATGATTTTTATTTTCATGTAATTTGCTATTTTTTCACTTTCTCTCATCTGCTCACCAATAAAATCAAACAAATTTAATTAATAATTTTTATACAAATAAGTTCTTGAAAATTAAATTTCCTAGAATTTATTTTCTTTCTATGCAAAAATCATGCTCACAATCAAACGCACCGTAACTGCTTAAGCTTTA